TGCAGTGTGTGCAAACCTGGTCAAGAACTACAGGAAACGTCTGACCTCTGTAATTGTAAACAAAGGTTTCAGTACCAAATAGTTTAGATTCTGTCTCTCACAGTCGAGGTATACCTACGATGCAGATCTGTCCATTCTTTGTAAGTGGGAAAACTTGAAAAATCAGCAGTGTATCAAATACTTATTTGCCCCACTGTACATACCGGAAACCTTCACTAAACTCTAATCTCCAGTCCTCCATGTCCTGACCTGACACTCCATAGTGGTGAAATTTACCTTGAATCAGAAACCTGTTACATGAGTCAACAGTCCAGCTTCCTAGAAAACCCTTGAGACCTAAAACCTGTCCTAATCCCATCTAGGCTTTTCACAAAGAAAATAGCAAGGAATGTTATATTCATTCATTTTCTACCGCTTAGTCCCTGAACGGGGTCACGGGTGGGGCCGGAGCCAATCCCCGCCGGCAATCGGGCGAAGGCGGGGTACACCCTGGACAGGTCGCCAATCCATCGCAGGGCTAACACATAGACGAACAACCACACATACACGCACGCACTCCTATGGGCAATTTAGAGACACCAATCAACCTAAGCTGCATGTCTTTGGTCAGTGGGAGGAAGCCGGAGCACCCGGAGAGAACCCACGCAAGCACGGGGAGAACATGCAAACTCCACACAGAAAGGTCCCAGGTGGGGCCCGAACCCGGAACCTTCTCGCTGGGAGGCAACGGCGCTAACCGCTGTGCCACCGTGAAAATTCTTTTCAAAGTCCTGGTGCTTACGATGATCTGGTGGCGATGAACCAGAAGGTTCAGCATTTCCTTTTGTGCAACCTATTTTAAAGTAGGCCTATAACTTAACGAGATGCTCCACGTTCCTCATTTTAAGGCAGGTGCTAGTGTCCTGTAGCCTAAATAGGCTAGGTGATGGTTGCCGATTTAGTTAATACAATTACAACTTAATCTCATAACATTTATGTGTGACTGGCTGTGATTTTATATCTGAACTAGCAGGAGAGTCATCTGCCGGATTTCTCCAAACACTGAGATGAGCAGGAGACAAGGTTTCTGGTACTGAGGGTGGGCTGAGCACATGCTCCTCATACAAACAGCACAATTAGAAGTTCATTGTTTAGCCTCACAATGTGCATTACCATTGATTTGTTCGAGGATTTTCAGTCAGGTTTTAGAGTCCATCATAGTACAGAAACGGCATTGGTGAAAGTCACCAACGATCTTCTCCTAGCCTCAGACAAAGGACTTGTCTCCGTACTTGTCCTCTTAGATCTCAGTGCTGCTTTTGACACCATTGATCACAGCATCTTACTGCAGAGACTTGAACATGTTATTGGGATTAAAGGAACTGCACTAAGTTGGTTCAAATCTTATTTATCAGAAAGATTTCAGTTTGCTCATGTTAATGATGAATCTTCCACACAAACTGAAGTTAGTCATGGCGTTCCACAGGGCTCTGTGTTAGGTCCAATTCTCTTCACTTTATACATGCTCCCTTTAGGCAATATTATCAGGAAGCACAACATAAATTTCCATTGCTATGCAGATGATACTCAGTTATATTTATCTATGAAGCCAAATGAATCAGATCAGCTGGTCAAACATCAAGCATGTCTTAAAGACATAAAGGCCTGGACGACCTGCAACTTCTTACTTCTAAACTCTGACAAAACCAAAGTC